TGGTCAGCATTTGTCCAAGTAGAGAGTTCAAAAGGTGGGAAGGGGTAGGAAAGAAGGACCAATGGAAACAGTAAACACACAGACAGGAAGTGGGAAGATGTGAGGATTGTGGTCAGTGTCACAAAACAAAATGTGTGTGAATTGTTGAATGAAAAGTCAATTTCATTCTTTCACTGAAATCCCTATAAAAGTTATTCAAATCTTTTTTTTTAATGGATCGGTTCTACTCTGTAACATATGAAGATCCCTATGAGTAGAAATTGACTTGATAGCAAATGAATTTGAGTGTTTTGTTTTGGCTTCTGTTTTACATATAAGAAAACTGAGACCAAAGAGAGATGAGGAGACTTGCCCAAAGCGACACAGCCTGACAGTGACAAAATATACGCTTCATTTCAGGCCATTTCTGCCATTTGATGTTGAGATTCTCAGATAAAAACTGGAGCTGTATGAGAGAGGGAATGCATAAATAGGGAGCAGGAACTCAGTTTTTGTCAGAGGAGATGAGTGTTTTCCACCCTTAAGAGGGAAGGGGTGTGTGTGTGTGTGTAGACCCCGGCTGGAGAGAGGATTCCCTCCCAGTCTTGCCGAACCTTCCAGAGATACAGACCTAGCTCCCATCTTGGTGACTGGCTTAGAGGTAGGAATGGGGTGGGAGGGACAACTCTGTGAACCCAGGGAAGAAAGCGAATTCAAGAGGGACCAAGATGATTGATGGGAAGGCACCCTGGGAGGTTAATTACCTAATAGGCTTAATGGTCTGATTAGACAAGTCTAAGAAGATTGCCTTTGGCTCAGGAAACCCCTTAATTCTCTACCCCCTCCCCATACCACATCCAGTCCCTGGCCCCCATAATCTCCATCTTAGGGGAGCAGGCTGCAGTGAGTGGAGATTCCCAGTCCTCTGGCTCCGGCCTCACCCCTACTTTTTCTCTTTGCTTTGCTCTTTATCTCCAGAGACATTAAAATCAGACTTCCTTTACTTAAGATAAGGAGTGCCAGGGTGGTACAAGTGGTTAATGCATTTAGCTCCCTAGCCAAAAATGTTGGAAGTTCAAACCCATTCAGAGGTGCCTCAGAAGAAAAGCCTGGTAATCTCCTTTTGAAAAATCAGCCATTGAAAACCCTACGGAACACAGTTCTACTCTGACACACATGGGGGTCACCATGAGTCACAGTTGATTCCACAACAACTGTTTGTTTGCTTGTTTTTTGCTTAAAAGGAAAAGTTGAAAGCCCATTGGGAGACAGCTTAAGAATTAAAGCTTTGCAGTCAGAATAGCCTGGCTTCTCTCATCCTTTTCCTAGTGTGTGTATGTGTGTTGTTTGCAGACTGAGGATGTACTGGGCACTGTAGGGGTCCCTGGGACACAGAGGTGAACGCTACTGACATGATCCACGGTGGGCAACCTCTGTGATAAATTGTACAGAAGACAAAAATCAAGGGGACCTGTTCCATGCTCAGGGTTCAGGGAACGTCCAGAGAAGTGAAGTTAGAGCAGGGATCAGATGAAGGAAAGACATTCACTGGGGTGTGTGTGGGGGGGCATAGTTCCCACACCTAGGGAATGTGCAAAGGACCTGGGGTGGAAGGGAGCAGGGAACAATTACTGTTGTTGAGAACTGTCAAGTCAGTTACTGCTCATATACTGTCAAGTCAGTTACTGCTCATGCCACCTTGTATAGGGTTTTCGAGGAGTGGATGGTGAGTTTGAATTGCCAACCTTGAGGTTTAGCAATACTTAACCACCAGTGCCACACCAGTACTCGGTAGGGAACAATTAGAAGATGAGAAAGTCAAGCTGAAGAGACGGATAGGGCCAGATCATAAAGATTCCAGAATTTCTACCCGGGCAAGACTTAGGGACAACAGTTTGGTTAGAAGAGGTTAGAGATTTGCTTCATATTCCCCGTTAGCAGAGTGCTGTCCACATGGTCAAGAAAACATCATTTGCTCACCATAAAGAATGGCCCACAAGCTACCTTGGCCCCACCTGTAGGTCTTGTCCACCAACCTTGGGTATATTGGTGCCTACTCACCAGCAAGGATGAGTGTGTATGTACATGAGTGAGTGTGTGGAGGGGTGATTAACAAGGGAAGACCAAGGGTGAATCACAACTCAGTTTAAGTCTCAGCCCAGTGATTGTCTGGAGGTGTGACCTTGGGCTGGTGCCTTCACTTCTCTGTGCTCTTCTTTGCCTCAGTTTCCCCTTCTGTAAGAATGGAGATCATTTCTACTCACACTCACTAAGAGGTTGTGTATGAGTGGATGGGACCGAGTTTGCAAAGCACTTCACTTGCGAGGCTGAGTGTTCAAAAGCATCTCCAGAGTTCGGTTCTACTCACCTTTCCATGACTTCCTCCCAGTTGGAACCACCATCACCTCCTACCTGGACCACTGCAGTTGATTCATCTCTGGATTCCCTGCTTCCATACTCACCTCCACCCTACAGTCTGTTCCCCTCATGGTTGTCAGAGGGATGCTCTTAAAACCTAAGTCAGATCCTATCCCTCCTGTGGCCCCTGTCTCTCTTAGCACAAAAACCAAAGGCTTCACTATGGCCCACAGGACTCAATATGCCTGCCTTCCTCCGGACCACCCACCCCTCCCTCTCTGCCCTTCTTCATTTCCTCCCATACTCCCTCTGCTCAGTGTACTCTAGCCACACCAGGTATAGTCCTACCCCAGGGCCTTTGTACTTGTTCTTCCTCCACATATCCACATGGCTTCATTCCTTCCCCTTCTCCATAGGAGGATATTGCCTGGAGACGATATCTTGTAATGGTTAAGAATATGGACTTGGGAGCTAGACTTCCTGAAAACCAGTTGTCCTCAGATAGACACCAGTGGGGACCCTGTGTGTGCCAGAGTAGAACTGTGCTCCATAGAGTTTTCAGTGACTGGTGTTTCAGGCCTTTCTTTCAGGGTGTCGCTGGGTGGACTCAACCCTCCAACCTTTCAGTTAGCAGCTGAACCTGTTAACCATTTGTACCACCCAAGGACTCCCAGGGTTGGGTTCAAGTCTTAGTTCTGTGAACTTCAACAATTTCTTTACCTTTGTTTCATACTCTATAGAATGGGTTTTAAACATAGGATCAGTGTGCAGATGAAAAGGACTGGTATTTGTTAAGTACATGAAACAGAGTCTCGTGAATATGAAGTATGGTAGGTGGTTGTTAGATGCCGTTGAGCTGGTTCCCACTCATAGCGACCCTGTGTATATCAGAATGAAAAGTTGCACAATTCTGTGCCACCTCCACACTAGTAGGATGTTTGAGCCCATTGTACCAGTCCATTTTGTTGAGGGTCTTCCTTTTTTTCCTCTCACACTCTACCAAGCATGATGTTCTTCTCCAGGGATTGGCCCCTCCTGATAAGGTGTCCAAAAGTGAGTGAGATGAAGTCTCACCATCCTTGCAGCTAAGGGGCATTCTGGCTGTTCGTCTTCCAAGAGAGATTTCAGGGAGTTTGGCTCCAGTCCCACCTGCCTCCTCCCTCTCTCCGGAACACCAGGTACAATTCTACCCCAGGGACTTTGCACTTGCTCTTCCTCCACATAGCCACGTGATTCCATTCCCTTCCCTCTCTGCGGGGGAGGATTGTGCCTGGTGTTCCAAGGAGAGGGAGGAGGCAGGTGAGACTGAAGCACTGTGAGCAAGGGGGGAGGAGATGAGGGCAGAGAAGTGGGGACTGGGTGGTGGTGAGGGGGGCAGATGTAATGAATCTTGTGGGCCAGGCTGAGGTCTTGGATTTTTATGCCAAGTGAGACCAAAGCCACAGGAGGGCTCTGAGTGTAGCTGCAGAATGAGTTTGATAAAGAATGCCATGTTCTTGGGAAGGACTGTCCGGTCACCATCACTGTATCCAACACAACACATCCTCTCCACGCTGCTCTCTCCTTTCCTGCCTCTTCTTAGTTTCTCTGTGCTTACCACCACCTGATAGAAAATAGATTGTCCGTCTTCTCTGCTCTAGAAGAATCTAGAAACTTGTCTGAAGTATGGTAACTCTTGCTTGCCTTGTTTTTCTCATTTACACACAAGAGCAGGGACTTTTGTCTGTGTCTGTTGTAGCTAGTTTACTAGGAGGGTGTCAGGCATGTTGCAAATGCTTTAGTACATATTCTTTGAATGAATGAATGATCATTATTTTTTTTTAACTGTTCGTATTTATTTTGCTGCCACATTGTTGAGAGTGTGCACAGCAAAACATATGCCAGTCCCACCATTTCGACATGTACAATTCAGTGACGTGGGTGGCATTTTTCAAATGGTGAGCCCATTCTCATACTCTCCTTTTTTAAGTTGTTCCTCCACCGTCAACCCAAAGTCGCTGCCCTCTGAGTGAGCTTCCAATCTATTGAGTGGCTGTTGTCACTCTGATCCCACGTAGTTCTTGAAAGAACATAATTGTCAAGGCAAACCTTTTTTTTTTAATTATTATTATTATTTTTACTAGTTAAGCTGTCCTGTCTGGCTCTGTAGGACAAACACAGGACTGCAATGTTGGTTTGAATCACAAGGTTGGTGGTTCAAACTCATTAGTGATTCCTTGGAAACCCTATACTGGGTTGCTGTGAGTCAGAAGCGACTCAATGGCACTTTAGCCACAACAATTATTTGGTTTTAAGGAGCTCTAGTGGTGACCAAAAGGTCAGCGGTTCAAGCCCACCAGCCTCTCTTTGGGAGAAAGATGAGACAGTTTGCTCCCGTGAAGATTTACAGCCTTGGGAACCTGAAGGAACAATTCTACGCTGCCTGTCCTATTGGGTTGCTATGAGTTGGAACCTACTCAGCGACGACACTGGGTTTGGTTTGGCTTCTTTGTTATTTGGCTTCAAAGAACATTCTTTTTTGTACTCTCCTTGCTGTTTTCATGCTTTTTGTTGTTTTGGTGGCTGTAATCGTAGTCTCCGATGCCCATCCATCCCCTGGCCTCCTTTGAGGAGGTGAGGACCCCTTCCCACCTGACTCCTTCTCCCCCTGTGTACCCCTGCAGAGGAAGGTGAATACTTCCTGAAAGTGCTGATCCCCAGCTACGCTGCAGGCTCCATCATTGGCAAGGGCGGCCAGACCATCGTACAACTACAAAAGGAGACTGGTGCCACCATCAAACTCTCCAAGTCCAAAGACTTCTACCCTGGTGAGCACCCCACCCCTGGACTCTGTCCTGAAACCTCCCCTGCGTCTGCCTGGGTCCCGGATACTGGGTGGACCTCCCCCTAAGAGGACAGAGCTGCCCCCAGCCTGCCCCCGCCCCCCAGGCCGGAGCAGATGGGGTGGGGGCAGGGCAAGACAATGGGCCTGCTGCATATTCATGAGCCCATTTGCATGATACGCTGGCAGATGTGCCCCTTCCCACACACCTGCCCCCTCAGGTCAGTTGGAGGAGCAGGGGCTGGGTGGTGGGGAGAGAGGCAGGTGTCAGAGTGTCTCTGGGGCTGAGGGGCAGCCATCCTGGTTACTATATCCCGCTCCCTCCCCCTCATTCTTTCCCTGTGGATTTCTCAATCACTCTTTGGATTTCTGTCGTCCTGCCTGGCCAACCTCAGTTGCACCAATGTCTCCTTTTCAGTGTGTCCCTTCATGTGTCTCTTTCTCCTTACGTTTCTGACTTTTTTTTTTTATCTCTTCGTTGCCTCTCTCCCTGCTTCTCTCTCTCCTTCTGTGTGTGTGTGTGTGTGTGTGTCTGTCTGTCTGTCTGTCTCTCTCTCTCTCTCTCTCTCTCTTTCTCTCTCTCTCTCTGGTTCTGTTCATATCTTTCCCATCCTTGTCTGCCTGCTGCTGCTTCTTTCTCTTTCTCTCCCTCTTCCTTCCTATCTTCCATCTCTCTCCCCCTCTTTTCCTTTGCCTCCACCACTCTCACCACTTTGCTTTCTCTTGCTCTGTGAACTCCCTCTCTCACTCAGTCACTCATTCAACACATATTTAGTGAGTACCCTCAAGGAAGCCACTTTCTAGCGGGGTTGTCTTCCTCTTTCCCATCTCTCTCTGTTTCCCTTTGTCAGCCTTTCCCCAAAGCTTAGCATTCTCCTTTTTGATTGCTCAAAACCCAGATTCTTTCCTGCCTCTCCTTCAGCTCCGTTTCTCTGCCCCAACTATTTACCACTTCCTGTGGAGTTGACTTTGACTCATGGAGACTCTATGTGTGTCAGAGTAGGACTGTGCTCCCTGGGGTTTGCAGTAACTGGCTTTTAGAGAGATCACCAGGTCTTTCTTCCAAGGCACCTCGGAGTAGACCTTTCAGTTAACAGCTGAAAGGTTAACATTTACACCACTGAGGGACTCCCTCACTCTTGTTGTTAAGTGCCATCAAGTCAGTTCCGACTCATAGCGACCTTGTATAGGGTTTCTGAGAAGTGCCCATAAGTTGTTCAAAACCCCTCCATTCTCTCTAATTTCCCTTAGTACAAAGGGGCTTCAAAAGTTTCTAGAAAAACTAGACTAGAATAAGAAGATACTGGAATTTTCTTTTTTAAGCTCTTTCATATTTCCCTCCCTAGACCACTGCCATGGTCTGGGTATGTAGGAATCCAGAAAAGGTCCCCAAATTGCATCTCTATCTCAGGGCCAGTTCTGGCTTGTCCTTAATCCCCTAGGGTGTTTTCAGGTCAAATGGTACAGCTGGAGTTCAGAATCAGGACACACACACGTTTCTCTCTCTCTTCCTCTCTCTCTGTACTTCTCATCTCAGTTAGCAGCTTTGGAAGAGGTTTAGAGAAAAGTGTGAGGATCTAGGCACACCCCCTCACTTTTTTGTCCATCCTGGACCAGTTTTCCCCACACCGCTATAGCCCCACAAGATACAGATCAGACCTCTGCTTGGGACATCCATCTACAGACATTTGGTTCTTTGCCTGTGCATCACATTCTGTGGCATGAGACCTTGTCATCTTCTCTCAATGCACCCCACAAGCTAGGTAGCTAGAACCCCAAAGGGTAGGATAGTCATTGGTTCCCCAGACCAAACACTATTTAAACAAACAATATGAACTAGCTAGTCTCTGCTACTGACAGAAAACTTACAGATTACAGAGTTTAGGCTGCCTCCTGCCTCAGATATGCCAGACACAGCCCCAACATCATAGTCCCGTCCTCGGGACCTCCCAGGACCCACAGGAACCAAGGAATAGAGAACTACTGTACCAAAGAACATGCTTCTTCCACTCCAGGCTCATCCTCGTCATTCATTCATTTAGCACACATTTTCTGAGCATCTCCTTGGAACAAGCCCTGTGCTGGGCAGAACGGGGGGTATAGCAGTACCTGAGACAGCCCTAGCCTGGCCCTCATGGGTCTCAACATGTGATGACTCGGTGGTGAAGGATTGGGGCAGGAAAGCTGAGAAGACAACGGGAGTCTAGGCAGAGCACCTGATCCAGCCTGGGGGGCTCAGGGAGGGGTTTCTGACAGCAGAGCTCAGAAGGATATATAGGGTGCTACAGGAAAGTAAGCCAGCATGTTCAAAGACTGCAAAGATTGTCATGCAGTGTGACTCAAGCATAGTGAACAGATGAAAAATGACAATGGAAAAGTTCAAAGGACCCTCTGTACCTGGTAGGTTCACTTACTCACATACACACATAAGTAAATACATGGCACTGTGTATCTACTACCTGAAACAAAAAGCTACCTGACCTTTTAGCCATAATCAAGGGGCTGAGACATTCAGAACACAGAGTGTTCCCTTCCTGGCACATGAACTTTAAAACCTCAGGTTCGATCCTTTCAGATCCTACACAGAGACCCAGAAAGAGGCAGTTTATCTGCCAAAGCCACAAAGACTACTGTGCGCCATCCCAGACCACCCTCATCAAACCAAACCCATTACCAAGTCAATTCCAAATCACAGCACCACCACATGATACACAGTAGAACTGAGCTCCATCGAGTTTTCTTGGTTGGCTTTATGGAAGCAGATTGCCAGGACTTTCTTTGGTGGCACCACTGGGTGAGTTCAAATTGCCAACTTTTTGGCTAATAACAAGTGCAAAACATTGGTACCACCCAGGGTCCTCAGACCACCCTGTTGTTGTTACTAGGTTCCAGTTAAGTGGGTTCTGTTTCACAACACAACAAAACACTGTCTGGTCCTGTGCCTTCCTAACAGTCTTTGCTATGTTTGAACCCACTATTGCAACCACAGTGTCGATCCATCTGGTTGAGGGTCTTCTTGTTTGCTAACCCTCTGCGTCACTAACCATGATGTCCTTCTCCAGGGACTGATTCCTCCTGATAACAAGTCCAAAGTATGTAAAATGAAGTCTCCTCATTCTCCTTCTAAGGAGCATTCTGGCTATACTTCTTCCAGCATAGATTTGTTTGTTCTTCTGGCAATCCATGGTACTTTCAATATTCTTCTCCAACACCATAGCTCAAAGGCATTAATTCTTCTCCAATCTTTCTTATTCATTGTCCAGCTTTTATATGCACATAAGGTGATTGAAAATGTCATTGCTTGGGTCAGGTGCACCTTTGTCTTCAAACTGACTATACCCTAGTGATTCTTTTTTTCTTTTAATGTTTTATTGTGAATTATGTGATAGTTTACATGGGAGAACATTAGCTTTACATTTATCCTATCGTATGTATATCATTTTATTGCCATGGTTACAGTCCCATCCATGCATCATCAACCAACCAAAACCTGCCCCCTGGTTGTCAGCGCACAACCCCTCTCCCTCTCTGGGTCTAAAGTCCCCAGCTGCTCCATCTTTCCACGTCATTGTCATCATTTCTGCCTCCATCTCTGGCATCACTGCTTCTCTGGGTAGAGTACCAGTCTCCGCTCTTATCCCTTGATGGTCTCACTTCTAGACTGCAAAGTCAATCACTCCGTTCCTTTTGCTACAAAACATCTACCTTTACATTTGCGACCCTCACAATCAGTCCTGATAACAATTATTCACTATTGTATCACAAGATACCCTAGTGGTTCTTAAAATTGCTTCTGATTTGGATCATCCATCTATTTGAAGCTAGAGACTATACCCCAATAAGAAAAGCACAGACACACACTTTATTTAAAATTTCTATTGATTTGTAACATGCTTGCACCAAAGTGTAAAATCTTACGTGATTACTTAACAAATTCACACATACTCATTTTTGAATATCAAAAATGTAAAATAAAAACTCTAGCCATTAGATACCGCCCCATGACACACATACATATAAATCTAATCACTCCACATGCCCCATAATTTTGCATAATAGTAGTTAAAACTGCTAACTTAAAAGTTGGTGATCTGAACCCACCAAGTGGTACCACAAAAGAATGACCTGGAAGCAGTCTGATTCCTTAAGGAGTACAGCCAAGAAAAGCCCCATGGAGCACTTCTACTCTGTGACACATGGGATTGCTATGGGTCGGGATCAAAAACAGCCACTTGGGTTTAGAAGCCTGATCTCTCACCTTTGGCGAGTGAACTTGGCGAAATCCCTTCTCTGTGTTCAGTGATCTTAGCAATAATAACCTGGGGATAATAATACTGCCTACCTCATAAAGGAGCTCTGGTAGCGTAGTGGTTACGAATCGGGCTGCGAACCTTAAGGTCAGCGGTTCGAAACTACCAGCCGCTCCGCGGGAGAAAGATGAGGCTTTCTACTCCCGTAAAGATTTACACCCTTGGAAACCCTGTACAGGGTCGCTATGGGTCGGAACCGACTCGACGGCACTTAACAACAACAACAACAACAACCTCATATAGTAAGTGAATTAATATATGTAAAGTACTTAGAAGGTTGCCTGGCATATGGTGTTATATAAGAGCCAGCTGTTATTATTAGACACGCTTTCAAGGTTTAGCTGAGTCCCCCAAAGTCCCTGTGCCCCACAGGTTAAGAATGACAAAGAGGGGGTGGTGTTCACAGTCTTCCTGAGCTGAAAAAAGCTTAACAGAAGTTGAAAAGCTGGCCACTTTGGCCCACCTCTCCCTGGGGCTTCCCCCTTCCCCCACCCACCCCCAGTTCCCACCCTGTCCCACACCCTTTCCTATTTACACCCCAGACGGAGGCAGCCTGCACACTGACTCACCCTTGGCTCGGACCAAGCCATTGTTTGGGAGTGGAGGTGGGGGGCAAGAGGGAGGAACAGTGGCCCAAAGAAAGTGGGGAATGTCAGCCACACAAGTCACCCACAGACAGTGACAGTCAGACACATGGCAAGACTGGCATGCCAGGCAAAGGACTGTGGTAGCATGCCACATAGGGATGCTTTCAGGACACCAGATTCTCAACTCCAGGTGTTCAGACTCTCGGGAGGCATGGGAGACAAGCTAACTGGGTCCCTACTGGGTCACTCCACAGACTGGTCCACGTTCCCCAGGCCCTCACATTCTCCCACATACCCATCATAATAGAGTCCTGTCTGCCTCTCTGCTATTCACATACTCAGACACACATGCACAAACTATCTTACATACTGACCCTGGGTGATCTGCCTCACTCTTTACACACAGACGCATACTCACACAACACACGTACTCCTGGTTTGTTTATATATATATATACCTCTCTCTCATACACACAAGCACACACACAACACCCAAACCCCAGCCCTGCCCCTCTCTGCCTGTCTCACACTCACACACAGATACACACACATTCACTACTCACACACATAACTGTCCTTCTGTCTCTCACCTCACTGTCTTTCTGTCTCTTTCCCTCTTTATCTCACACACACACACATAACCTGTCCTAATCTTGTCTGTCTGTCTCCTAGATACACACGGACATACATATACACTCTTGCATTGCTTACACACATACACACACGCATGCAGATAAACACCATCAGGCAGTCTCAACGAGGCATCCGTTCATCTTACAGTCTCAGTGCCACTGACACGGTAAGCGGCACTGAGACAGTTTCTTTCTTCAAACTCTCACTTCCACCCAGCTCTGTTTCACAAATAGCACGCACGATTCGGATCATCACGGTGACACCCAGGGTCTTTCCCACACACAAGGGTGCACACAAACATTTTCACTTAAATCACTATGCCAACGGGTTGTTTATATCTCAGCATCTCCTGCTCTTTCTTTTACACACACGCACACAGAGATAAGCTAGTTGGTGTACACAGTGTACACATGTGTGTGTGCACCCATGTACACTCTCACACACAAACCAGCTGCCCAGTCCGCCTCATGGAGGTAGACACACTGATCAGAGCGTCACCTTCTTTGTAGGCATAGACATCCCAGCACCACCTAGAGTTAGCTTCTCTCCCCTTCTCTATTTCTCTCTTACACACACACACACCACACATACATGCACGCACTCACGAAAGATGCCCAGGTCAGGATTGCAGCCAATATCTGGAGACTCTTCTCCAGTCATGGCACTACCCCACCCTTCTTTCCAATTCCCCCAGTCCGCACTCCCCCATTCACTGCCTTTGACCAACTCTGCTCTTCCCTTTCCACACCCTTGCCCTCCCCCACCCCTCAACCTTCCATCTGGTGGGTCCGGGCAGAAGCTCAGGCCTCTCTTCCACCTCCTCCAGCCCCCAGTCCTTCCCCATCCTCTCTAAAAGCCCAGAGGCCTTCGCTGCAGGCTTTCAGGAGTTGCCATGGCAACGGGGCCTCGTCCCTCATCCCCCTGGGGGTGGGCTGAGGACCCGGCCAGCCAGACCGATTAGGGGGTTCCAGTTACTGTGGCAACCATTGCAGGCCTGAGCTCTCCGCTCCTAGGAAGGGGGGTGGGGGCACTGTGAGTGAATGGTTGCCAAAGCAACTGGGAGCCAGCAAGGACTGAGAAGAAGCAGCTGAGCTCTGTCTCCCCCTGCCTAGGGCTGCTGCGGGCAAAGCACTTAAGCATCATTCTTGTGGCTACTGGAGTTGTTTTAAGAGAGGGAGATGAAGTGCAGATTATAAAACAGGGATTCCACTCATTCTCCAGCTGCCCATCATGGCCTTGGAGCCCATGCCAACTTGCCTAGACTCCCTGTGTGGACTAGGGCCAGTCAGATCCACTCTCTGGCCCTCACTTTTCCCCTTTCCATTAAATAGGGCCTTTCTCTAAAGAAAAGCCCAGCAATCTACATCCAGAAAAATAAGTCACTGAAACCTCAATGCAATACAGAACTACTTTGGCACATACGGGGTCACCATGAGTTAGGGTAGACTGAATGGGCAACTCATTTGCTACTTGTCTCTCAAGCATGTCACCATTCCTGTCTGATGTGTCTGCCCTCTCTCTTCTTGGCTGCACAGGAACCACAGAGCGAGTGTGCCTAGTACAGGGCACAGCAGAGGCCTTGAATGCTGTGCACAGCTTCATTGCAGAGAAGGTCCGAGAAATTCCACAAGCGATGACCAAGCCTGAAGTGGTCAACATCCTTCAACCCCAAACCACGATGAACCCCGACAGAGCCAAGCAGGTCAGTTGGGGTAAACTGGGCTGCTGTAAAGCTGATGCCATTTGCAAGGAGACACTTCTCACATCGCTAAGTTCCTGTAGGTGTTCAGTGGAACAGTCCCTACAAAAAGTCAATATATGGTAATGATTATTATTAGGAACCTTGATTGGCAGTTTCGGGAGAATGATGTGGCATCTGCTTCTGTAAAGATTACAGTCTTGGAAACAGTATGGGTAGTTTGTCTATCCTATAGGGTCACTTGGAATCAAAATCGACTCCACATCAACAATTTTTATTATTTATTATTAGCAAGTCAACCCTAACAAAAAAAGACTCCAGGCCTCTTGGAATTGGCCTGATTCAGAAAAGAAGTGAAAGTCTGAAAAAAAAATCTGCCTATAGCTTCCACTTATCCCCTCTTCCTGGGTTTCCTAGAGTATCTTCTCCCTTCTACTCTCCCCTCCACCATATCCCATTGTCTCTCTGAGTAACCTGCCTCCCACTTCCTGTTGTCGCCGGAAGTGACCTAAGTGACAGCCCAGCCACATCCCTAAATGTTTAGAATTTGTCCCTCCTACCCCCCCTTTGCCACCCATTAATTCATTACTGTGTGGGGTCGCCATCATTTAGAGAAAGGACCATTAGCGGGTCCGGGGGCGGGTGCTTTCCTGCGCACAGTCCTCTCTAGAAGGGGAAAGGCAACGCCTCTCCGTTACTTCAGTTACCAGGAAGCGATGACGTAGAGGCGTGTCAGGGAGCGGACCAATCGTTTTTTTCCGGGCCTCTCCGGTTGCTATAACAACGGTGCGCACAGGGCAGGTGGACTCACAGCAAGTCCCCTGGCGGTCAGGTCCTGACCAGGGAAGAGAAACGCAGGACTGGCTGGCTGCTCTCGCTTCCGATTTTCTCTCCCCTCCCCACTCCATACACATGCGCATTTGTCGCAAAGGGGCGAGACTGGCTGGGCAGGCCATCTGCAAGGGTTTCTTAACTGCAGTCCAACTGTATCGGTAAAAGGGACCTGGAATTCTTGGATTCTGTCTTTGCCCTGAGGTAGATGGAGCAGATAACTGGCCTGAGCTCCCCCTAAACTCGTGGCGAGACGATGGGAGCATTGTCCTGAAGGACTACTCCAAAATTGATTGCGGGTTTAGGCGGTGGAACGCAGCTGCTGTCCTTGGTGCTGAAAAGGCTCCGCTTCTCGCACACTTCCAGATCTTTCCATAATCCCTTCCTACCAGTTTATTCAGTTTACTGGGAAGACAGGGCATCGCCTCTTCCCCCTCCTTTTGTTTGTGGCTACAAGGGGCTCTGGATTCATCATGAAGAGTTTGTAGATGTTGCAGGGAAAATGGGGTCAGCACCATCTATGCCTGGACTACCCACCCCGTTCCTAATCCTGAGGAACTGAGATCGTGGAGCAGAAAGGTTGTAATCGAACCAGGATTTATTCTCTGCTTTTTTACCCCTTGTGGCGCTGTGAGTTAGACTTTGGGCAGCAAACCACAAGGTCGGTGGTTCAAACCCACCAGCCACTCCAAGGAAAGATGAGGCTGTCTACTGCCTTAAAGATTTGCAATCTCAGAAACGCTATATAGGGTTGCTGTATGTCGAAATCAACTCGATGGCAGTGGTTTGTTTTTGTTTCTTTACCCCGGGACTCCAAAGAATAAGGAAGATAATAGTTGAAGGCTAAGATTCTGTGGAGCCAGAGGTTGAATTGAATCCTACTTACTCCCGACCTGTGTGACCTTGAACAAGTCACTTAATTTCTCATTACCTTATTTTTCTCACCTGTTAAATGGGATTCATTATGATGCTTACTTAAGGGTGGTAGTGTTCATTGGTGTTTGAAACTTCTTAAATAGGTGTGTCTACTACTTAGAAAGTTCTTTTGAACATGTTAGCTTCTGCGCTTGTAATTATTGCATTTGGAGTTCAGGAGACAGGTGAAGTCCTATTTATGCTTTGAACTCACTGTGTCATTCTGTGCTCCTTCTGTGCCTCAGTTTCCCTTTCCATACAATATGTCAACTGAGCCAACCAGGGAATATAACTCAAATGTGTATGTAATAAGTCAGAAATCTTTTAAATCAACTGATTTTAAAATCTTGGATCAACTTTTAAAACCCTATGTGGACCAAGGAAAATATAACTGGGCTAGCAGTGTCTGTAGCCAGAGAGTCACCAATTTGTCACCTCTGGAGAAAGACTAGTGGTCTGGTATCTAAGTCATGTGTTGTTGTTGTTGTTGTTAAGTGCCGTCGAGTCGATTCCTTCCCATAGGGACCCTGCGTAGGGTTTCCAGGAAGCAGCTGGTGAGTTTGAACCACCAACCTTGCAGTCCAAACAGCTTTGCAGTCTGGCACATTAACCCTCAGTGCCACACCATGTAGGTAGCTTAAACTGAAGATTCCTGGATCCCAGCCCAGAGCCACTGCATCAGAATTTCTGGGGATAAAACATGGAAATCGGAGTATGTACTCTGCCCTAGTAGCAGATCGCCAATCCCTATGTGTCCTTGAACAAGTTACTTAACCTCTCTGTGCTCATTTCCCAATAGATAAAATGTGATCATAGTATTTACCTTATACAATTATTGTGAAGATTAGATAAGTTACTATAGGATAGTGTTTAGACTGTTGTTGTTGTTGTTGTTGTTAAGTATTGTGAAGTCAGTTTCTACTCATAACGATTCATTCCAACTCATAGCCAACCTGTATAGAGTTCCCAAAGTTGTCAATCTTTAGGAGAGCAGAAAGCCTCATCTTTTTCCTGTAGAGCTGCTGATGGGTTTGAACTATCAACCTGTGGTGCTTATCCTACAAGCGCCACATCAGGACTCCAGTGTTTAGATTGCTTCTGCTGCTGTGTGTGCCATCAAGTCACTTCCAACTCACAGCGAGCTTGTATAGGGTTTCCAAGGCTGTACAGTTTTACTGGTGCAGAAAGCCTCCTCTTTTTCCAGCAGAGCAGCTGGTAAATTCGAACTGCTGACTTTGCAGTTAGCAGCCCAACGTGTAACCCACAACACCAGGACTCCTTAGTGTTTAGAATTGTTGTGGTAGAGTGCTGTCACGTGTGTTCCGACTCCTAGCAACTCCATATAGGGTTTCCAAGGAGCGGCTGGTGAGTTTAAACCACCAACCTTGCAGTTCAAACCGACCTTGCAGTCAAGTGTTTATACTACAGCACCACATCAGGACTCCCTGGCAAATGATAAACACTGTGTTAGATGTTGTTAGTACTGCTTCTGTGGTTATGTGGTTACTGTTACTTTGAAAGCCCTTGGAGCAGATGGTCTGAGGCCTTTCTGATCCTAAAATTCCTAATTGTAGGCCTTTCTGATTCTACGATTATAGACAAACAGGTTGTTGTAGTTAAGTGTCGTCCAATCGGTTCCGACACGTAGCAACCCTGTGTAGCGTTTCAAGGCTTTAAGTCTCAGTGGGAGAAGGGAGCCTCTTGTTTCCCACAGAGTGGCTGGTGGGCTCAACTGTGGACCTTTTGGTTCACAGTCCAGTGCTTATCGCATGGAGCTACCATGCTCCCCTGAGACAAACAGGTATCCCCCTCTTCTCTGAAAGTTGGCTGTATGCCACTTTGCTTTTAAGAAAGACCTACATTAGTATCGTTTTCACTAAATAAAAAAAGTCCAAAGAGGATTTTCATTTTCATGCAAACAGGCGAAAAGTAAAACTAGTGATAGTGTGCACCTTGTACAATCAGAGCGACGTCACCAGACTCCTTTCCCAGGAACTGCACTCAGCATCTCAGTATCAAACTGCCATAACTTTGTGTTCTGCCCATAAACTGGCTGGCATTATGATGGTGGTGGTGGCTGTAGGCTGTGAAGCCAGTTCTGAGTCACAGTGACCCTGTATAGGGTTTCTGAGGCTGGACATCTTTATGAGTGCAGAAAGCCTCATCATTCTCTCACGGAACAGTTGGTGGGCTCAAACTGCTGACCTTGTCCTGAGCAGCCACACTATATGTTAGTGTTATTTTAGATTTGATGTGCTCTCTGATATGATTTGACAGGTGATTTTTCAGGTCTGGAAATGCTCAAAAATATATGATTTGACAGGTGATTTTTCAGGTCTGGAAATGCTCAAAAATGTTTCCTATGTAAATTAATGATACTTGCTTCAGTTTCTATCATTTCAGTTTAGGAAGGGTTTCATATTTATTTTCAGGCAGATAGCTCGGTATAGCTGTGTAACAGAGTCCCTGAATGGCACAAATGACTACACACTCGACTGCTAGTTGAAAAGTTGGCAGTGCAAACCCACCCAGAGGTGCCTTGAGAGACAGGGCTGTCAATCGGCTTCAGAAAGATTGAAACTCCTATGGAGCAGTTAGACTCTGCACACATGAAGTGGTCATGAGTGGCAACCAACTCTACGGCAAGTAGTAGCAAGGGACGTAGATTGTTCTAAGATTCTACTCCTCTTAATACCCTGGGGGCTTCAGGATTCCTCACCTGCAGTTCTCTCTAAGATGCTGTGGGTCTACAATTCTGAGTCTGTTTAATAAGGCATTTATCATTTCCTGAGGGCTTACCAAATGCTAGGCATTGGGCTGTCATTTTACTTGTTAAATATTCCCAGTAATTGTCTGAGATGTTGTTGTTAGGTGTTGTCAAGTGTCAGTACCGACTCACAGTGACTCTATGCATAATAGAACAAAACACTGCCCAGTCCTACACCTACCTCCCAATCATTGCTATGCTTCAGCCAGTTGCTGCTGCCATTGTGTTAATTCATCTCATTGGAGGTCTTACTCTTTTTCGCTGACCCTCCACTTTGCCAAGCAAATTGTAAGAGATAGCTGTGATTTATAAGAGGCCAGTGTGTGGTTTACTAGTAGCATTCTTGTTTTCCATCTGGGACACCCAGGTTCAATTCCTGGCCACTGCCGCTCATATGGAGCCATTGCCCATCTGTCAATGACAGTTGGTATTTTGCTGTGACGCTAAACAGCTTTTAGTCTAGAAAGACTAAGAGTAGGAAGAAAGGCCT